GATGTGTCAGTGCAGAGTGAAGACCACCTTGATCCCCGTTGGAAGTCAAACACAAGTGTGGGTAGTAGTGTCCTGGGAGTGAAATAGAACTGGCCCAGAGAGCAAACATGAGCCATCCCCATCTCTCCCCCCAAAGCCCAGCCCGACCTCGTCCGGGTGATGGGTTTTTCTGTTGTTCTGTTTGTTTGCTTGTTTGGTCTGAAGCTCACGGATCCCCAGCATGGAGCGGAGAGGAGAAGCGGATGACACGGAGCAGAAGCGAGAAGAAGCGGCCGCGGATGGGGGGTTGCGAGGGCGCGTGACACGCGGACCTCCCCTCGAGGTGACGAGAGACCTGCCGAGAAGCTACCAGGCAAAGCTGCTCAACAAATACACACAGACGCCAGGATCAGGGCAACAAAGGCAGATCGCTGTCTCTGATCCTTCAGCAGATGTTATTTCTGAGAGGGATCTTGTAGCTCGGTCTTCATGTGTGAATTTTATATCAGCCTTTCAGATGAGTCTCCAAAAGAAGCTTCTATTCAGCTGTGATGTGTGACTGATAACACTGTAGTTTCAGTATATGCAAAGGCAAATTCTTAATGTTATAGACTGTAATACATTGATTATATCTTTTCTCATTTGTAAAGAAATAATAATCTGCTGGTTCTGGGATCATCTGTTTTCAGTAAGAGCCACAACCAGCCTTCCTTTCAAATTTCAGTGGATAAACCAACAGAGAGTGACACCTCCTGGCAGCAAAGAGAACAGTTTTCTCTTTGGATACAGACAAAGTAAAAATACTGACACTGCTTAAGACTATCTAACAGTCTTGTTCTTCCATTCTGATAACGTCTCATAACGCCGCCCTGTATGATTAGCACTCTGTATTCGACCGTGGCTCAGGTTGGGAAGCGTATCTGTAACCGGAAGGTTGCCGGTTCAAGGTTCGATCCCTGGGCTCTCTGTCCTGGTCGTTGTGTCCTTTGGCAACCTACCTACTGTTGGCCAGAGGGGCCGATGGCGCGATATGGCAG